TCTGCAGCTTGTGCGGGACGCCTGGCTCCGCAGGGCGCTGCGGCCGCCCCAGGGCTTCCTCATCCGCGCAGTGGGTGAGTCTGCGGGGAGCGCCGGGCTCCCCCACTGCAAATTGCTCGGGGAGGAGGCGTGTCCCCAGGCCGGTCCGCTCTGCCACGGGGGGCAGGCGGGGATGGCTCTGTCCCCATCCCACCCGGGCGGGGGGGTTAGTGTGGCTGCTCACCGAGCCAACCTCGTAAGAGGATACCTGGGAGAAAGCAGCTAGGCTGGGAGTAGGGTTCCTGCCCTGTAACTTGAGCCCCCTTGCGGTCCCTTGGCTTTCTGGGGCTAAGGAGCCTTCCCTAGGCTCTCTGCTCCCCTTTCTTTGTGACCAGAGGCTGCTGGACTGGTAGCACAGTTCAGTGATGAATCCGTAATTGCTACACAAACCAAAATATTATCAGGTAAAAGGAATCCTCCCTGTGTGGAAGACGTTTGGTGTGAGGCATTACTGCCAGGGCAGGGGGGAAAGCAGCCAGGTATCAAAGAGGCCTGAGGGATGCTGTTGCTTTTCTATTGAAAATATGTTGGCTTTGCTTGAGAGAGAGGTACTTCACAGGAAGCAGCAAAATGTTCTCAGACTTCTGGTGAATAATTTGCAGTCATTTAATGCACATGACTGAGCCTTTCTGCCCTAGTGATCTGTTTGTAGTAAAGCTCTCCTTAAAAGTTTTCTTTATTTAAGTAATTTAATGGTGTGTGAATTCTTGATCCTGCTAATATGTATGAGCATAGCCCCAAAGTGGAAGTCACTGTTTTTCATCAGTATAGGAGTTTGTAGGCTCAGGGGCTTATACTGATTCTGAGATGCCTGCACAAATTGGAAACCTCTTACATATGGGCATTAATTTCTGTGAATATTAAGAAAACTGGGCATTTTTTGTTCGGTCTTCATTGTGTGGAAAAGGTGTCACTTTGTGTAGTACTTGTAGTTCCACATATGATGCTAATGGATATTGGTAGGTTTAACATAAGTGAAACACTGTTACAGGACTAAAATATCAATCTTTACTGTAAGTTTTAAATGTGAGTACTATCGTCCTGATCTGTCACTTGAATCCATGTGGGTAGACTCCTGCTGCTGTGCAGAACACCATTGAAGTCAACTACTGAAGTGCTAGATGGTGGCACAATTATTTATTTTAAAGATAAACTTAGCAGTCTTTTAACAAGTGTGGTGGGAAGCCATCAAAAAGAAAAGAACTTAGAGATCTGAGGGTGGTTATATTTTTAGGCCAACGAGATTGACCTGAAAATATTAGTTTAAATAATTGGAAGTTGCCCTCTTTTTTTTTTCTATTGGTGTAGTACTCTTAGTTTAAATAGTGTGGGGAGGGGGAAAGGGGGGGAGGTCTGGTGCCTTTATTTTGCTTTCACTTCTATCTTGTTGAAAATATTTGCTATATTTTAAAGGAATAGTTAAATTAGTGAAAAGTGGCATGCTATCTCTGTCTATGGAAATCAGTGGCTGTTTCAAAAGAATATGGTGAAATAATTTAATTGCTGTGAATAGCAACCACTGATTTAAATAAATTCAGATCTTCTCACTCCACAGGTCTTTCTGTTATGCTCAGTTAAACCATTTTATACTTCTATTAGAATTTCTGGCTTGTGAAACTAGTACTGGCCTCACTAGACTGGCTATAAATAATCAAAGAAAGAGAATATAGTGTCAGGTATGAAATTAATGGAAACTTTGCCATTGACTTTAGTGACCAGGACTTCATCCCTTCTGTGTAAACAAGGGAAACTACATGTACATCAAAGGTGATGATGTATGCTGCCTTGGTTTGGCTTTAAGCAAAACACTGTGGACACTATTAATTACAACTTAAAAACAAAAATATTAAAGACTTACAAAATACTTAAAGGCCAGCAAATATATGTAAGCCTTTTTATTTGAGTTTGGGTGGAGGAGTTGACTGTCCGATTATAGTGTGGTTTGGGAAATTGATAGGTGGATGGGGTAGGTGAACTTAGCAAATTGAGAATTAACTTGTTTTCATTACTGGATAATAGTAAACATCTATTTAAATAATCAACTCTATGGGGGGCAAGGACTGTCTTTCATTCTGTATTTGTATAGCATCTTGCACAATGAAGTCATCTTCTCTGACTGGATCTCCCAGGTGCTATGACAATAAATAATAATTAGACACAAAGTAGAAGATATAAAATAAATAATTTAGGCTAGATATTACAAGTAGACCTCACTCAGCAGATTGTAGATACAGAATATGAAATGTCAAAAACAAATGACTAAATACAGTATTTGGGGATTTGTAGCAACTTGAAGGTTAGACCTACTGAAAACCAAAAGGACTTTGCTATTTGACAGGCTAGAATGAAGCGCTGGCTGTTTCCTGCTTTAATTCCTTTATTTCCCCCTTGAAAGAGCAAAAAATTAGGTGTTGAAACATCTTCTATCTCTAAAGAAGAATGCAGCTGATGGAAGATTTAAAAAGGATTGTTTTCAGTTAATGCATTAGTAGGAGCATTGCCAGCAGATCTATGGAAGTGATTCTCCTTTCTTCGGCACTGATGAGGCCGCATCTAGAGTACTGTGTCCAATTCTGGGCTCTGCACTATAGAAAGGATGTGACACATTGGAGAGAGTCCAGCAGAGGACAACAAAAATGATTAGGGGCCTGGAGCACATGATTTATGAGGAGAGGCTGAGGAATTTGGGCTTATTTAGTCTACATAAGAGACGCATGAGGGGGGATTTGATAGCTGTCATCCACTACCTGAAGAGGGGTACCAAAGAGGATGGAGAGATGCTGTTCTCAGTGGTGACAGATGACAGAATAAGGAGCAATGATCTCAAGTTACAATGTGCGAGGTCTAGGTTGGCTATTAAGAAAAGCTATTTCACTAGGAGGGTGGTGAAGCACTGGAATGGGTTACCTAGGGAAGTAGTGGAATCCCCATCCCTAGAGGTTTTTAAGTCCTGGCTTGACAAAACCCTGGTTGGGATGATTTAGTTGGGATTGGTTCTGCTTTTAGCGGGGATTGGACTCAATGACCTCCTGAGGTCTCATCCAACCCTAATCTTCTATGATTGTGATAATGCACACATATGTACACCAGGGGACTATCTTGGCATAGTTATGAGCATAATTTCATGGTGTAGATGGAGGAACACCATCTTCTCAAGCAATTGGAGCTAGATTAACAGAAGCATTATTCCTGTGGTGTTATCTGCAGGTACATCAGGGGTTAGGTTAGTTGTAGTGTTTGGATTCTTCACAAAGTTGAGCAGTGGCACTGCAGCTTGCACCTACATTTTAAAGTGTAGATCAGACCACAGACACAGGTATGACTACGCCTTAGATATGCAAATAAACTAAATGTCCAGATTCCTAGTATTAGTCACTTAGAGCTTGTCTACACTACAGAGAAGATGGAAGCTGTCACAGACAATCTTCTGGGGTTTGAATTAGCAGGTCTGTTGAAGACCTGCTAACTCGAACTGAGAGGGCATTCCCCTCAGCACTGGTAGTCCTGCTCCTCTTGAGGAGTAAGGGAAGTTGATGGAAGCGTGTGCACCCGTCAATTTCCCATTGTGTGGAAGGCACCAAAATACAAGTTAAGATACTTTGACTCTAGCTAGGTAATGAACGTAGCTGGAGTTGTTTATCTTAAGTCAACTTTCCTCTTTAGGCCCTAGGAGACAGATGGGTGAGGCAATATTTTTAGAAGATGCATGTTGTCACCACTAAACTTAAGAGTTCATCTTTTTATTTTTCCATTACAATTACAATTATCATGTTATATTCTCTATATCTGCCACAGACATCTTCCTTGCTTTTTTACTAAATGTACTAAGTTGTTTACAAAAACAGCAAAAGCCTGTTGACTATTTTAATCAGATATCATTATTATAGAGAACAGCATGTAGACCTCAATACCATCCATTTAATTAAACTAGTGTGCTTTGCAATCTAATGAGGTCAGATTGCAATCATGATTATTCTGTATAAAAGCACTGTAGACAGATTATGGGAATGCTCTTTTTCATTGACTCAGAAATATGAGGAAATGCAGAATATGGCAGCCCCCTTCTTTAGTTGTGGTTCACTCACAGATCATATAACACTTTTGCTTCAAAGACTGCACTAGCTCATGGCTTTTCAGGCTGAATTCAGGATGCTGGTTTTCATCTATAAAAGCCCTTCGTGGTTTGCATCCTCTATATTTAAAAAAGTTCTTTGTGCTTCAACCTGACAATAGAGAGAAATTAGGAGGATGAAGGTGCTAATCCCTACATTTGTATATCTATAGTCTGGAGGCAGGACATTCCCAAAGGGGAGGCCTCAGTTCTAGGAATTTGCTTTATGCTTGCATCAATAGAACCTGTTTGTTTGATTTACAATTACAAAGCCTAGTAGGCTTTTCCTCAGTTGGAGAGAAAAGAATACTAAGGCTCCTTTTTTCTGGGGGAAGAGGAACTAGGCTGAATTTCTTTCTGCCATTTTTTAGATGATTTGTTAGGATAATTTTAAACTAAGAAAGTTTGTTCATATTTAACTGGCAGCAGTTACTATTAATTGAACAGCTGGAAAGCTTCACATTAGCATCTTAAGCTCATTTTTCTATTAATATTTCTTGTATATATACTAATAATTATCACCACATGAAGTACACCCAGTAGGTTAAATGCAAATAACTAAGATCACAAGATTAAACAAGCAAGTTTAAATTCTGACACAGATCAAGGACCACACCTAAGTCTCTCTCACTTATCACATACATAGATATTCATATACAGGCAGTCCCCGAGTTACGCGGATCCGACTTATGTCGGATCCGCAGTTACGAATGGGGCCGTCTCCCTGGTCTCCGCTGCCCGCGTGTTCCGCCGCTTTGCAGACCAGGGAGACGGGGAGCAAAGCAGAGCAAAGCTGCGGAGCCCAAGGGCAGCAGGACAGCCACGGCGCGTCTGGGCTGTCCCGCTGCCCCCGTGCTCCGCGGCTTTGCTCCGGACGCCTATGGTACAGCAGCTGGGGCGCTGCCGGTTGGTCCCGTAGCGCCGCTCTGGGCGCCACTGGACCAATCCAGCAGCACCCCAGCTGCTCTGCCCCAGGTGTCCCCACGTCAGCAGCTGCTGAAAATGACCAGTGGCTGACTACAAGAAGCCCCTGCCCCGGGCTTCCTGGCATCAGCCGCTGATCAGTTTCAGCAGCGGCTGAATCTGGACGCCAGTTCCGACTTACATACAGATTCAACTTAAGAACCCCAGGCATCCCCAAGTCAGCTGCTGCTGAAACAGATCAGCGGCTGATTCCAGGAAGCCCGGGACAGGGGCTTCCTGTAGTCAGCCACTGGTCATTTTCAGTAG